CGAGTGTTGATGCCTGCCTGAATCTGGATCAGGATGGCTGAATGGTATGCGATGGGCACAAATGCCAACACCTTATGAAATATTCATGCTTCCTCATATGTTTTATGGCTTGTTGAATTTTGTTGTTGCCTCCACTGTCCGTTCCCGCCCCCGCCCCCTTTCCGTCCGTTCGTCCACCACTCTTCAACCACCCGATGTTGTAGTTCAAGTTGTATTCAAAGGCGGAGCCTGTTAAATTAATAAAGGGCGCTGCGAAGGGCCGATGCATGACAAAAAGTTGTATGATTGTTGTTGTTGCTGCTGCTGGTGGAGCTGAGGTTTGTTTTTCAACAGCTGCAGCCTCTCCACTAGACTGGACCCCATGTGAGTCCTGAGTTCTGTCAAAAATGGCTGGCTGGTTGACTGGCTTTTCGGCTGAGGTAATATGTTTAATTTTCTTTTGGTTTTTTTTTTTAGCTGGAGCATTATATTTTTTGTTTGTAGCGCGCATTTGCTTAACGAACTGTAAATTTTGTTGCATATTAGTTGTTGTTGTTGTTGTTTTTGCTTATGTGGGTCCATTCATGTAATTGTGTGTGTGCTTTGCGGCTTAAAACTTTTTGTTTTGATAAATTTTAATTTCCGTTTGCATTTTGTATGTTTTTCATAATTCATGCCTTCAAGTAACTAGATTGATGAGGGCTCTTGTGTATTTTGGCTTGAGATTTGGCCTAGCGCCTGTTTCAATACCGATACATATATATGGACACTGAGAGAAAATTATAAGCTACTTCGACGAAAGATACTAAAGTTGAAATGGCTTTTGAAAAACGAGAGTTTTTGTTTGACTTGCCAACTGATTTGAAACAGAACTGTGTCACTGATCTGTTCAACATTGATTTCGTTTAAATAAATGCACAAATTGATTGACCTGCCGTATTGGGGAAGGATTCTTCAACAATACAAAGGGTATCGCTGGGAACAGTGTTCTGCAGTATTCGATTACTTTGTAAGCAGATTGCTATTTTCATCAAGATGTATGACAAATTTTAAATTCAGTCTTAAAGAGGAACTCACTATTGTGCTCTCTTTTTGTTTGACTGCACCGTTGCTGCCACACACACACAGCCATACATGCTTATAGATATAATCGTGCGGAAATACCAGACACACTAAGCTGACCTCTACGTGGGCTACAGCGTCACATGAGCAGTATATACTATACCTACCATATATACCGGCAAACATATACTGAGTACAGAACCAAGCCACCCAATTGCCACAATCCCATCATCACCACCACCATTCCCTCTTTAGGACGGCCCTTTGCACATTGTTAAACAGCTGCCGTTGGCTCGCACCCTGTACCTTGCACCCTGCATCCTGCGTCCTGCGTCCTGCACCACCACCCCGCTTGCCTTGCATCCCCATAGGGCCATTGACTAATAGGATTTGAAGAGCGTAAAATTGGTTCGTTGTGAACATGAAATATGCAGTAAATCCTTTTGCTTGCTCCCGCCAACGCCTCAGTCTCAGCAGCAGTCTCAGCCTCGACCGCCCTTACTCGACACTCCACTCCTGGTCGATCGACAACAACACAGTTTATCTTTATTTTCACATGTTTTTCTTTAATATTTTCCCGAACTTTGCTGCAACGATGGAGCTTAAATATTTGTTGCAGCTTGCCATATTTCTCGCCAGCCAGAGTTGCCATATTTTCTGCCTTCTACGGCTGCTCTCCTGCCACTGACTTCTGCTGCCTGCAAGGCCAATGCACGCGCAGTTTGTTACAATTTCGCGGTTCGATTTCGCGCCGTCCCCGTCCCCGTCCTCAGCTTCTTCCTCGTCCTCGTCCTCGTCCTCGTTCATGAAATGTCTGCCAATGCTGCTGCATGGTCCTCTGCCTTGCGCTCGATGGTGTGTTTTATTATCACAAATAAAGCGCAATCACTGTTGTGGCACATGCCAGCGAACTCCGACAGCAACAACCCCACCCATTCACTGCCATTTGCCACTTCCTCACCCACATACATACACACACACACACACACACACACATACACACACTTCCACATCCACTTCTACTTGCCACTTGCATTGCGTTGCATTTTTCATGCGCTGCACTGCGAGTATTTCATGGTGGATTTTCCTCATGCGGCAGCGCTACATGAAATATTGCAAATAGTTTTATTCATACTCGATTGCGTGAAATATGAAAAATTCAAAGAAATTTGTAAGAGCACGCAATACACTTACAAAGGATGTGCATGAATGAATGGCTATACTTATACTCTACTCAGTCTGTATGTATGTATGTATGTATGGATCTGTATCTGTATGTTACTTAATGCAAATAAGATTTACTTTTCATTTCATTTCGCTGCACTCGCCGCCATTTTATGCATTTCCCTGTGCGCCCCATTTGCTTTACTTATTTACTTATTTGCTGCTACTCCTGATATTGTTGCTGTTGTTGTTGCTGCTGTTGCCTCTGCTTTAATTGCGATTCTTGTGCTAATGTGCCTGCATTTATTTTCATTATAGTTAGTACTCGTATTGTCCCTCCACTCTGGCTCCTTGCAACGGGTCATTTTTAAAATGGCATTTATGCGGGCGAGCGCACTCCAAAGCACGTCTTTGGCTGCCCGCCAGACAGTGAAAATTGCCAACAATATTTATTTAGTTGCGACGTCTTGCCGCTTTGAAGCAGTTGCCGTTGCCATTTTCAGTTTTTCCGCCAAATGTGACCATTATTCGGCGTCTGATAATGCCATCTGATATACACAAATTGATGCCAGTTGATGGGAAAATCTAATGGCATGAAGAGTTGAAGAGTTGAAGACACCCAAAACAATGAACATCAAACTTGCCTGTCCTTTCATTCAACTTATCAAAATATAAATATTTTCAGATTTGCAGAAAAAGCGACTTAAGTGCTTGTAAAGATTGCAGAAAAATCAGGATTAAAGGATTAAATATAGGATATGTCTTAATAAATAGTTAGCCTTTAAAAAACTTCCGTCGTTAGGTCTTACTATAGTTTTCAAGTTTCTACTTTTACTTTTAAAGATCTTTCTCACCTTTCTTTCTTTCTGTTCTATAGCATTCCATTTAAACCATTACCGGAAAAAAAAGAAGATATCGTTTTTCCTTATGAATAGATCATTCTTTTAACTTTGTATAAGGTATGTATATTTCATTCCCATACTAGTTTCGATCGACTGTATGTAAGACATGAGGTATATATAGAATTGTGCTATACTATACTAATCAAGAGTCGATATAGCCATGTCAGTCCATTTGCAGAGCTAGTATATAAGGACAAATCTATGGTTGTGGCTGCTGAGTCAACTTTGTATTGCACAAATATACTATAGAAGTATTCTTATAATTATGAGGCAGACTGAAGTAAGGCAAACGAATTTAATGTCTAACCATCTGACTGTTATATTATTTCTTGGCTTAAGTAAATATCTAGAATCAGTTGGTAGCATTTGGGAATATATTTGACTTTAAATATTGTATCCTAGCATACCGTCCATTTGATGTGTGTAGAAAAGAAAATCAATACCCCAATAATCATGTAGATTATAGTAACTAAAGATTAAATTAAAATCAATAACAAGATGTATGGTCAAATGATACCTGTTTTTATTTTGATAAAGCTTCCTTTTATTCCACTTGGGGATATTCAGCATGCATGTTTTGCTTTTCCATTTGCTTTCACATCAGACCATAGACAGAAACATTATAAATATTTCAAATAGCCAACGACACTTCAATGGCTGCAAATCTGTTGTAAATCTATTGAAATCTTAAGACTGACACCTTAAGTCTAAGCCGCTTCAAGACATTGCCTGTTCATTCAACTCCTAATGCGACAGGCGATGTTGGGCCAATGGCGGCCCAAAGCTTTTCTGACTTCCGGTGCTGCTTTTTATGATAAATTGAAACAAATAGCCACATAGTGCAACGTGGAGTTGGCCGTGTGCTTATCAGAAAATTGCGCTCAGCTGTTTATGAAAGCATAACAATGTTAGCTGCTAGCTGGCTGACTGCCAGTCTGTCCTTAAGTCCTTCAGTCTGGTTGGGGCCATTACAGCGCAAAGAAGCCAACATCAACATGATCATCAAACTGAATAGCTGCTGCTGCTGCTGTTTCTGCCTCTGCCGCTTCTTCCGCCTCTGCTTCTGCTTCTGTTGCTGTTGCTGTTGTTCACAACACATAATTCACAAGTAGGATAAACAATTTACTTATCGCTGCAGCAGGCCAGGCACAGGACACAAGCTGCACAGGACCGTCTTGGCGTGCCACATCAACGCGCCACATTGGCAAATAAATCATAATAAATAACTTGAAAAGCGAAACACCTTGGCGCATAAAAGTTGCACGTTGCTCGCATCGGAGAATCTGTGGCTGGGCCCTCGACTTCTCTATAGATAGATACACACAAACGAATATTGGTGTGCGTGTGTGTGTGCGTATGTCTCTCACTATACTTCTCGTATATACCGAACAAGTTTTGTGTTGAAGTAATTTTTATCAGGTGTCTGCGCCGGCGTCTGCTTACAGTTTAACACTTTGCCAACAACAACTGCGGCGCTCGGCTCATTTTTGTGACTGGTGATAAAAATTGATACATAACTTGCATAAATCAGGCACAAGGTGGCTGCGCCTCTGTGAGTGTGAGTGTTTGCGTTTGCGTTTGTGTTTGTGGATTTATCAGCGATGCTTGCCACGCATTACGCATACGACGTGTGTGCCGTGCAGGCGTCATTTATTAAATTGCTGCCACATAAAATTAGCCAACAACACACACAAAAGCGACACCCATGGCGTTGAAGTAATTTGTAAATTTCTGACAGACGCGCTGATAAACTCATTTCACAGATTTCTTTCGTCCCCTCGCCACCCGTCTCCCGCCACCCGCCACCCAATCTCTTTCTCTGATTTATGGCTGCAGATTTATGGCCAGCTTATTATTACGTACCACCAAAAAAAAAGAGGAGGAAAACACTACTTGTACATAATACTTGAATACGTATGTACTCTTTATACTTAACGTAGCATCACAACATGTAAAATCTTGTACAATTGCATCGAAAAAATGATGATGATGTGGATGGGTGCCAAATCGATTGTCTGCTTCAAGGCGCATACGCCTGCTGATTCAGTTTCGCCAGCTCCGGCGCCATCTTGCCTGTTGAGACATCCACCGTGTCCGCATCCTGTAGAGCTGCAGGCGCTTTTGGCAGACTGAAGAATTTCTGTAAATTAAATTTAGCAAAAATGAAATTAGGCTCCGGCTGCTGCTACTGCTGCTGCTTTGCATAATTTAAATTATAAATTAGTTGGGCCATCATCACTCAACCTACATCATTGCGTCCAAAATGTTCCGCCTCCTCCATGGTGTCTGGCAGCTTCTTGTGCAATGTCTCGGGCAGGAAGAGCGCCCCAATACCGCCGAGCAGAAAGAGGGTTCCCAATATATAATAAGGTGCACGAATATCTACCGTAGTGCCCAAGTAGACCAGATACGGTGCCAGCACGCCAATGGCGTTCGCCACAATGGTGCCCAGAGCAATGCCCGTCTGTCGCATGCAGGTGGGATATATCTCCAGGCACTGCAAATTAACCGTGAAGAAGGTGAGCGCATTCAGAAACTTAATAAAGGCACTCAAGTAGGTCATTAGCGCCTCGTACTGCTTATCGGAGGCATACATTATGATGGGCAGGCAGGTAACCGAAGAGATGAGGAAGGAGACCGAGTTGGTGAAGCGACGTCCATAGGTGTCACCTGCAAAGTGGAAAAATATTTAAGCAACAGTAATTAGTCAGCAATTTTATAGAAAATTATTTATTAACAAATTTGGGAGCCATTAAAAAGCAGCGCCTTGAAAAACCGTTTACCTAACTTCAAATCTTCAAATATTAGTAAATAAATAACGCTTTACAATTCCCTGAATCCTTTTACTTTTCTATCGCCAATTGTTTCTAGAACACTTATATAATCAAACTGATGTTTATGATAATTGTATATTAAAATATAACGGAGGTCTACAACGAATAAGTACAAATACAATAATTAATTAATTAACAAAATTTTTGGAGTTGTAAAGTTCTCAGTAACTACACGGGTGAACGAACAGATGAGTTATTTATCTCCGACATTAAGAAATATTTCATCTTTCGCATTCTAGAATTATTTATATTCTTCGATTACTTATCGATTGATGTATTTTTCCCCAAAAGATTCTGTTAAAGTCGGCTTAGAACTAAAAGCGATTAATCGACAACAAGTTGCTTTTGTATTTGCCGGAAATACTCACCCATGTATTTGCCCACAATATAGGCGGGAATTTCGACAATACTCTGAAACAGAAAGTTCAAAAACGGATTGCCCGCCATACGCGAACTGAAGAGCACCAATGTGAAATAGGAAACGGCTACGACACACCTGAAATGGGAGAGAATTGTTTGAAGTGATTCGAGTGCGGATTCATCAGTGCGTAGGTTAGAAATGCAAATTGCTTTTTGGTTTGCGTTTTGCGTTTTGTGTTTCACTCACCAGCTAAAGCCCATGATGATGGTGTTGCGGGCCAAGCGCCAGCCGCCAAATAGCGAGGCAATGCCGTAGGTAACATCCTGTGTGTCCCGTCGATAGATTTCCGCCAGTTCCTTTTCGCTCACATCGAATGTCCGGCCATTGAATTTGGCAATCTTCTTGAACTGGACAATGGCGTCGCGGAAGCGCCGCTTGCTAATCAACCAGCGCGGCGATTCAATGACATATCTGTCAGAGGTCATAAAAAAGGAAACGAATCAAATTGGAGGCAGTGAACAGTGCTTGAAGAATGGGCCGACCACAAAACTTTGAATTGAATTTACGATGGCGGCATTGATGGCATTGGCTTACTCTTACTTGGAGAAAATTAAAACCAGCGCTGTGGGCACACTTGTCAGCCACATAAAGGAGTCCCAGTGGCCCAGCCACCAGTAGAGTAACGGCATTAGAGTCGTGCCTACGGACCAGCCACAGCTCTGAAAGAAGGCAATGCGACTGCGATCCTGCCTAGGCAGCACGCATGTAATGATAGTTAGAAAAACTTCGCCATCTTAGCCGAACGACTAGGACTTTGTGCACTCAAACTTACTCCCGTGAGATTTCCATGCCAATAATTTGCGGCGATTGAAACAAACTATTTACGGTGAAGCCGACGATGCCGGACATGATGAGGAACCAAGTATACGAGCTGGTGCACACAATTGACCAGAGGCGCCCCACAGAGCAGAAGATAACGCTCACATAGTACACCGGCCGACGTCCAAATCTGAAAACGATAGTGGGAGTAGCAGAAGCGCAAATTCAATTACCATTTCTCTACTTTTCCGTTTCATAACTTAGTTTCTTCTACCCTAGACAGAGGCAGAGGCAGAAGCATAGCCACAGCCACAGCCACTGCCACTATTACTTTAGTCTCGTTCTTCGACTTACATGTCGCCCATTTGTCCAAACACAAATGAACCGACCACCTCGGTCACGCGGCCCACAACGAAGACATTTGTTACGAACAAATCCTTGGCGCACACCCAATGCTGGTCGGTGGGAATGCTGCTCTCGTACCAGGTCCGGTCATAGCTCCAGCCATTCTGGCAAGCTGTGGGCGAGAGTAGAAGTCAGTTTGAGGGTGTTGGTGAGGGTAGAGTGGAAACGGATGCTTCCCAAACATTGTGAGCCATGCAATGCATTAAAGTGCAAAGTTGTAAAAATTTATAAGCCTGAAAAGCAAATACAGTCGAGCTTCTCTAAAGCCAATTGCCACCGATTATCTTGCTATCCTGCATGAAGCCTAACTTCAATTTTTGAAAACATTGGCGGAGAGTGGGAGCAACATTTTCAAGACGAAACTTGTCACGTCTCAGTTCAGAGGACAAACAATATAAATTGAGTAAAAAATTGATAAGATCCACTTAACCAATCAGTTCCACATCAGTTTAAACAACGTTTTTCAACTGCTTGCCTTAAAAGTAATGTCTCGTATTTTAAAAACTTCACATAAGGCTATGTTTGAAGAACTAAATAGTGTAGCGTTTCTGTATTCTGGTTTATTTGCACTAATTGGAACGCAAAGTTTGATTTCCAATAATATCTCTAAATAAATAATTTTCTCTGAAATAATTTTAAAAGAAACAAATCATTTATAATATACTTATGTACAAGTAGTTACATAAGGCTATGTTTGAAGAACTAAATAGTGTAGCGTTTCTGTATTCTGGTTTATTTGCACTAATTGGAACGCAAAGTTTGATTTCCAATAATATCTCTAAATAAATAATTTTCTCTGAAATAATTTTAAAAGAAATAAATCATTTATAATATACTTATGTACAATTAGTTACAAGAAAGACAAATCTCTCTAAAGATCTACCTGAACCTGTGAAAGCTTTTTCCTGCGAAATAGTGCTTTAAAAAATACATTTAAAAGATGTATTTTCTTTTGTTTTCGTTTTTCGTTTTCGTGAATATTTCTTTTAACTATGGAATTGAAAAGCGCGCAATATTGTTATAATAAAGCTGAGTTCCACTGTACTTGTGTACATACGACCGAGCAAGTTGTATACATTTTCACTAAGGCAGCTAGATAGAAGGACCCTTCATGTCCATTGACCATTGTCTGTTGTCCGTTGGCTGTTGGCTGTTGGCTGTTTTCTGTTGCCTGATGTCACTCACCTGTTGTTTGATTCGTGCGCTGACTGACATTCCATGTGGACCAATCGTCCACCCCTGTAAAATTCATGTCGTACATCTCGCAGCTGCTGAATTTTTCGAGGCCTCGATTGTCTTTTTGGCTATTGTGTTGATTGTATTGGAAACGTTATCAATAAGTCAAACATCGGCGTCTCCCCCCCACCCCTCGGCTGCTACTCACTTGGGCAACGTGATGTGCCTCCATTCGTCTAGCGTGTAATTTGTGAGTTCTCTGCCCGGGACGGTGCACCAATGGTCTGGTATATTCAGGGCCAGAATGATGTTCATGTATACCAGGGCGCCGGCGAAGGCCAAGCCGGCGACAAACACATAGTTGTAGAGCGTTTGGTAGCGACCATGATTGCCGGCCTTCTCCATGAGCGCCTGGAACGGATCGTTCAGTTCGGACTCGTCATCGAGGTCCATTTGAAAAGAGGTCGCCGCCACAGAGCCAGCCGCCGATGCTTTCCTATTGTTAGAGTCCAGCTCGTGCATATCTTTCATTGTTTTGTTGTCGCCCATTGTTGTGTCAGATTGTTCGCTATTTGCGATTCTCCCTGCATAAAAATAACAGTGGATAAGGTATATTTGCATGCCAGCCAACCAGCATTCCAGCATACTCTATCTTTATGGCATATGGCCGAGTCGAGGTAAACAAACCATAACACTGTTGGTTGGGGGTGGTATTCTGTTCGCGCCAATTTTCAAGCAAATTCAAGATTTCAGCCTATATCGTATTGCTAACTCTTAAATTGATACTCGCTTTTTAGGGTCGCCTATAAACTATAAACTAATTTAGGTAGATTTGTCTGTCGTAAAGTTAACAATAACTGTAATTGCAGCTGCTCAAGATTAGACATAACAAGTCGGTCGTGGACTGATACGGGCATGGTTCTAAAAATATTGAATTATCAGTGCACGGCACGTTTCAAAACAGGGCAGATATTCTGGAAACTGAAGTGCCTGTATAATTGAAATTAGTCAAATGCTTTATAAGTAGTAGTAGAAAGTCTGTTCTTCAAAATATTGTAGACCTACGGAATGTGTTGTATTAAAAAATTATGTTTAACTAAAAACGTTCAATATGGCAAGCTCTATATAATCGAGTATGTGTACTAAAAATTATCACTCAATTAAATCACAGTGTGTGCAGCTGGCCATCACGTAAGACGTCTTATCTGTTGAGATTTTATTAACGATGCGATTTTAAATGCCACAGAAGTAGTTAATTTTTGTAATTGCATTCCTTGTCAGTGATCGGAATTGCCTTTTACTTTTCCACAATATGCGATTGGCTTTATTTAACGAATATTCTTTGAGCTTTGGAAACCTGCAGTTTATTTCAAAATAACATTAATTTGGAAAATAATGCAGAAGAATTCATTGCACTTAATAGCATATTTGTGAGCTAAATCGGAAGAATCAAAGCCTGAATTACCATTTATTCACTCCGTTTCTTGATTTTTTCTAACTCCCGAAGTTTATAAATGTACACAACTGTATTTGTTTTGTATTATTTATATACGAGTATTGCATTAAAATAGGCTTTTGCTGGACTAAAAATGTCCTGAACAAGTTTCTCTTTCACCATTCTATTTTTAGTTTTTGTTCCATTTTTAACGAAAGGGTTTAAATACTTACCTAACTTATTACTAATAATAGTTGTATAGTGTGTGCAGCGGCGTTTCACTTTTTGGTATTTTGGTAACCAGCACCGATTATGTTCTATATAACTATGTGTTGTGGCTGATGACGAAATCTAGATATATGTGGTGTATCTACAAATTTTTGGTTGCTATTGTCGATAAGATTCTAATTGATTTTGAGTTGCCTGATTAGGGCCAACTTTGGTTTCTATATTGCGTCGTTGTTTCCAACACGATTCACTATTCTTCAGCTCACATCTCGCATGCAAGGTGAAGTGGATCAGAGATCTTCGAGTTTCGCGAGCACTCATCAACCGTCGCCAACACTTCGCGGTGTTCTGACTGTTGTCCAAAGCCAGACCCGCTGTTAAAAGTCAAATGTGTTATGCTAGGCGGCTTATCAGCATATGAAGAAGACAGCGGGTATGAGCCATTGTAAATTAAATTGCTGATAACAAAGGTCTTTCTAATTACCTCATGCACACTTGTCTGACAATCACATATAAAGGAACACGTCAAACAGCCAAATGTTTGCCAAAGTGCATACAGAAGTTGCTGGATTTCGTGAGCGTGGCCCAATGCAAGTTCTTGCCAGACAGCCCACTACTTCTTACTATACTCGTATATGACAACTATATAAGATTAGAAATTGAGCAGGTTGTGTGAGTGAAGAGCGTATTTCCTTATCAAATTTTCACACAACGTATACGAGTACAGATAAGCCGACTGTGGTGGGTCAACATGCTAATCAGCGAGGCGTTGGCGCAGCGTGCGGGGGTTAATGGATTCATTAACCGGTAAACGGCTGCTGGTCACTCGGTTATTGGCGCGTGGAAAGTCATAAATATGAATAATTCTGAAAATCTGGGTACACAAATTGTGGCTTTGTCTAATCTTCAAAGCTGGTTGAATGAGTATTTACTTTACTTGATGAACGGATATTATGGGCATTAGAAAAAGTACAGTATGCAAATATTTGAGGGTATTTAGACGATAAGGCTGATAACGCTCGATTACATCTAAATACATCATTTCCGCTTGATTTAAAATTTACTTAATAGACGTTTATTCAAATACTCTATTTTATAAGGGAATTATCAGCTCTTTCAAAATGAGACTTGTAATAAATTACGAGATGCATAGAATAATCCACTATATACCATACTGCATTAAATATGCCCGATCAGCATGCAGTAATATCACGATAGTGCTCTTCTGCTGTCCATTAAGCTGCCTTTTAAAATACAAGAGGTGGAGAAGTACTATCTTAAATAAGAAATAAGTGCCAAGTAGTAGTATGCAGTGGTAAGAAACCACACATTTCTGCATTCAAAATTTCTGTAATCTTCGTGTTTGATCCTTGATTGTCGTGGCCTACAAGCGGCAGGGTATTGTTCTTGTATAAGTAGCATTCTTACTTGTTTGTTTTCGCCTTTATGGACAGTCTAAGCTAAGTGCAGCATGCAGTACTCGTATGTGAGAGCATTTATACGATAAGCAAGATACCACTAATTCGTTTCGTGTCGAGACTACGGGGCTCATAAATTTGATCGTAAATGTTGAAATACTTTTCCACTCTACTCGTACCTTCAACACAACTTTTCACACATTACTTAGGTCATTTTCTTTGATCTTATGCTGAATATTTCTGCTTGATTTATTATTAGATTTTGGAACCTAATATTTATGAGCTTTGCTTCCGCCGACTGATCATCTGGACCTGCTCATGCGCTGAAAAGCACGCGGAAACTGAGCGAAAAGTGTAGCGTTGAAAATGAGATAAAGTCAAAAGTATTCGTTCTCGTACTAGCAGTCTACGTAGTTTGTGCAAATGCAATAATATCAATTTTCATATTTTCATTTGCTTGTTGAAGAAAGACAAAAGCAATTTAACAATTTACTAAGGCACTTAAGCGAAAACTTAGTGCCTGCCTGAGCAACGTTCATAAACACAATCAACAAAAAAAAAAAAAGAAAAGTAGATTGAAAGTAATACTGTTTGAGACAACAACAAAAACAAAAACAGAAACAGCAGCAACAACAATAACAGAAACAACAACAGAAACAAGTGACAACGGTCGCATTTGTTTTAAGCGGTTGAGCTATGAATAAACATTATCTATATGCGTACTATATACGTTTGCATATTAAAGAAGTAGATCTGTTCCATGAGTGCTATAAATTTAATCAGCGTAGACTATAACGTCTCATGCCAGTGGCATCAGACGGCATCAGACGCCCCAACCCTGGAAACAGTCGCCGTGGAATAGTAGCGACTATTGCTCGCCTTCTCATGATGAATTGTCTTCTTTTTTCTATTCATTTATTTTTTGTGTCTCAGCATTTTGACATGATGGTGCCAAATGTATAGCTTATGGAATTAATAGATGAGTGTTAGGGGTTACCCTGACCGGTGCCGGCAATTCAGGGTCGGACCGTTGGGCAATTGATGTCAGCATAGAGCTTATGTACATTCAATGTCAGTGAAATTGTGGGAAAACTACTGAATTATAGCAAACGGAGAAATGGCGGTTTCTTTTGTGTGATCAAGGCTTCTCCCGACAATGCTATTTAGATATCAGTAGTCTAAGCTACATAGAAAAGGCCAAAGAGTTATGGCATTTGATTCGTGGCAACTTATGCTACACGTGTTTGTACAATTTCGGGATCATCAAAGACGAAACAACAGCGCTGGAGAGCGAGAATTGTCCCGGTTGAAGTAAACGGTTTTTAGTCTTAAGTCTTATTTCTTTGAGATAATTTACAAATGACACCCTAAAAGATTTAACGTCGCTAAGCAAATCAATTTATTCGTTATGCTTCGATGCTTAAATATTAGTTTATAAATAAAAATTGTAATTTCAGTTGCCCTTTAATTGACATGTTTAAGGCTTACTGGTATGCTGTCCATAAATTCAAATGCGTCCCATCTCCACTCAATGTACTATATTATTGAAACTTTGTATCGCTTAAAGTCCAGAGCGACAATGAATGAGTAAATGCAAAAAAAAAGAAGTAAGCTCGAATATAAATAGTAGGCTTTATACTTATATAGTTAGCGTCCAATGGCCATGCAGCTATGTTTTCTTGTAATACATATACATAGTCAAGGGTACAAGCTCAGACAAAAATGACTTGTTATTGAACTCCCAATGGCAATGAGCAGAGCAGAAAGATTCATTTGGGGGGGGTTTCGGAGGTTGTAGTGGCTAAGTTAACCAACACGATGTGGGGTTCATTATTATATTAGATGGGGATGAAGGCACGTCCCCTATTGAGGTAGAATATTTGAATTGAATATTTGGAAAGAAACCTAAGATTAATAAAGCTGTATAAGCTCATCATAAACTTCTATACACTATCACATCATATGCATAGTTGTAGCTACAAATTATCTTTTTATACTCTGTACATGAAATGTACTATACAAGAGTATATTAGGTTTGCGCGAGCTGAAAAATGTAACAGGCAGAAGGAGGCGTGGCAGACCCCACAAAGTATATATATTCTTGATCAGCATGACGAGACGAGTCGATCTAGCCCTGTCTGTCTGTCTGTTTGTCCGTCTGTCCGTCAGTCCGTCCGTATGATCACCTAGATCTCAGAGACTATAAGAGCTAGAGACACCAAATTTTGCACAAAGATGCCTTATGTGTGTACGCTATACGAGTTTGTTTTATTTTTTTGATTTTCCCCCCACTTCCCCCCTATGGGGATTTTCCCGATTTTCCATTCGTATAATCGCCTATATCTCAGAGACTATAAGACCTAGGAACACCAAATTTTAGTCCAAGATGCCTTGTGTGAATACGCAGAAATTGTATATTTTGGAATTTCCCTCCCTCCCCCCTCTCCCCCGCAAATGCGATTTTCTCTAAATCCCGCAATATATTTGCTGCTGCAGCACTGCTCAAGCGCCGCTCAAGCGCTGCCCAAGTGCTGCCCGCGGCTGTTGTTGATGCTGGTGCTTTGGTTGACTGCACATATGTTTACACAGACATGAATAGATGCGCGTAGGCATACATACACTCACACAGACGCAATTGCTATGTAAATGTGCAATTATACACCCTTTACGTGAGTTCGAATACCAAAAGAGGTAAAATTTATCAAATTTTTTTGTATTTTCCTAATTTTTTTTTTATTTTCTATAATTATTGTAACATATGTACAGAGTATTTCAAAGTCGGGACACCCGACTTTAGTTTTTATAGCCTGTACCCAAAGGGTGAAAGGCTATACTAGTTTTGTGCGCATGTATGTAACACACAGAAGGAGGCGTGGCAGACCCCACAAAGTATATATATTCTTGATCAGGATGAGAAGACGAGTCGATATAGCCATGTCCGTCTGTCCGTCTGACCGTCTGTCCGTCTGTCTGTATGAGCGCAAGGATCTCAGTAAGTACAAGAGCTAGGATAACCAAAATTGGTATCAAGGTTCCTATAAGCCCTAGGCAGAACGAGTTTGTTTATTTTTTCTGATACACCCCCCCACTCCCCCGCAATTCGTATTTTTTCTTATAACTTCCGTAATTCTCGGAATTTTGAAATCAATTTTGGTAGGTACATCCAGTTAGTACTAATGTGTCCGTGTGCCAAATTTCATCATGATAGGTCAATTCTGAAGAAAGTTATAGCCATAAGTAAAATCGCTGCTCATGCGCTGCCTCTGTCGGCAGCGCTACCCGCAGCTGTTGTTGTTGTTGCTGCTTTGGTTTAACTTTGTGCTGCATACATACACGCATATAAACACGCATATAAACACGCATAGGTACGTGATGTAAATGTATGCTGTTTAAACTGAACATAAACATGTATTCTAATTTAATTTAATTAATTAATTCATTCATTTTTTTTAATAATTTAATTTTTTTTAATTTTTTTTTTTTTTTAATTTTTCTTTTTTGTGGAGAGTACAGGCTATTTTACTGTCGGGCTTGCTCGACTGTAGCGTTCTATCTTGTTTTACTTGTTTACTTGTTAAGTTTGTCTGATGCCGAGCATTTTTATATTCCTGGTTTGGTGTGATATCCGTTCTTATTTGTGCTTTGTTCGGTTAACAATACTGTTGAGTTTTTTGAACAGTATTAGCTTACGAGCTTCATACAGTTTGGAATACGTCCTTCCCAATGCGGACCCCGCACCCATTAAGTTTCACATTTGTTGTACTTTTAAGATATGTTCATTTTTATTTGAAAAGTTTTACTTGATTTATGCATTAAATATTTCTCCATTTCGGTTTTGTTTTGCTGGGAAATTGCATCTAAAATGTACTGAACTCTGAATAATTAATGTGGCGGCGCTTCACGTGGATGTTTTGCTTTGCTTGTGTTGTCATAGGTTTTCAATTGTTAATTTTAAACTTTAATATTGCTTATAATATTCAGTTAAATTACATAATTTTACAATGTTAATTGGAAAGTGTGGTAGCACATGCTTCGTGTTGTGGTTTGTTGTTTGTTGTTGGCTTTCGTGCGTTTGCGCTTTCAATTACAATTTACAGTTGAAACACTTAATTGTATTTTGCTTTAAATAAATTAATTTAAAAATGCCTACATAGAAATATGTTTACTCTCTGGTTTAACACGTGCGCTTTGTTTTACTAACTCTTTAAATTTTATTTAAGTTTTTGGAGTAAAATATACAATACTTTCTAATTTTATTTACTTTTATTTAATTTAATTTTTTTAAATAGATATTGTGTCTTATACATGTATTTTATTTGAATGCTCTCAAAATATGTTCAGGTTTAAGTATGAATAAAAGCGGTTTGGAATTGGTTGTACATGAAATAAATAGATATTCGATATTTATATAGTCGCTATTCAATATTATCATATTTCTATATAATTTTGTGCTTTACTTTAAACTCCATAATGATATTTGTTTACCTAAGCTATAGAAATTAAAAAAAACGTCTGCGTTGTCTGACTAATTTCATTGTCTGTTTTTGATTATCGCTAAATAGCTGGCTAGTTGCTAATAAGTATGTATAATATATATGTATATATATATATATATTTATATATATTTATATAAAGATCTGTAACGTGTTGATAAATGGCATACAAGTAGTTCGCTCTATGCTATGTACAAGTCGCAGGGATATGCCAAATCTTTACACGAGCTATATTTCATTATAGGCTACAATTTTCAAAATATTGCTTAGCGTACATTCTCATTTTCATTTTCAATTTCCCAAATTTCCAATTTACAACTTTTGACGGATTCTCATGGTTTGCTTGCTTGTTTTCTTCTAATTTATACAATTGTTGGTTACATACAATATTCAACGTAATTAAAATTATTTATAAAATGGCAGTTTGGTGTTTTGTAAATATTTCTCTGCTCTCGCTTTTCATTTTATTTTATTTTTGATTTTTCATTTGAAGTTATTTTTGCATTAAATTGGTCTATTGTGTGCACCTCATGTGCTTTAAAATAGGAATCAACTTGAGTTTTGGTGGCCGGCCGGATGGGGGCCACAGGTAAAAATTTGTACAGCAACAAATGCAGTTGAAAATCAAATCAAAGCATATATATATATATATATACGAGTATATACGTAAAGAGCAATTCATGTTGGACGTCTCGCAATATCACGTTAGAAAAACAATAGAAAACAAAACAAAACGAACACAAAAGGCATAATAAAGTCATTTATCTGAGGCTAACTAATTCGTGATTGTAGACAAAAACATCATATATACTATACTATATAGATCTGTCTCTGTCTACATCTCTCTCTCTCTCTCTCTCTCTATATATATATATATATATATATATATATATATATATATATATATATATATATATATATATATATATATATATATATATATATATAGTTTGTACAAATATAATTAAATGCCAAGATTATCGGAGGAAGGATTGACTGACTAACTGACAGGCAGACAGGAGCACTGTCCGATCGACCGGACGACTGACTGTTCGTTCTGTGCTTTTCTCACATCGACGCCCTATACACTATACATTTGAACTTAACAAGCGCACTACGCTTTTCGCTCTTCGTTCCCTCTTCGCATCATCATCATCTCATCATCTATTCTTTTTCATTTGTTTTTCACCATCTCGTCGTTTAAACTAACGAATCACAGCAATTGAAATACACTAAACACAAATACAGCTACTTCCTATACAGACACACTCACACCCACACACATGTACATGCACATGCACACGCACATGTATGTGTGATAAGTAGACACGAGGATACTTGAGAGAACTTAGCACTTGGAACTAAACTAAAAACTGTATGTAATAAATGGGTTATTGATCCTTCTCGTCGTGCAGCGTAGTCGCCGATGATGCGGATATTGCCGCATTGCTGCTATTACTGCTGCTGCTCGTATTTTTGCGCAAATGATTGCGCAACATGACCAAGTTGCGGTTCAAGGGTAGATTACTAGATAGGCCCATGGTGGTGCTGCTGGGGCAGGCTGAGGCTGAAGTCGAAGCAGAGGCTGAGGCGGAGGCGGATGAGGAGGCCAAGGTGGAGGCGGAACAGGGCGCATGGGGCAGCGTGTGACAAATGTTGCCCAATGGAGCTGTCGCAATGCTGCCACCGCTGCTAATGCTGCTGCTGCAACCAACCATACTAGCCGACGCCACGGAGGTGGTGGGCGACGTTGCACCGCCGCCACAGCCCACGCTGCCGCCACCGTTGCTGCCCAGACCGACGCCGAGCAGCAACTCGTGGGCAAGTATGGTCGGCAAATGTTAAGTGCTGCTCTTCAACGGACCCGACGATAGCGAACTGCTGCTGACGCCCGAATCACTTGACTTCTCACTGAGTCCGCCACGTGTGAGCGTATCGTCGCCCATAAGTCCGCTGCCGCCAAGAAAGGACTTTTTGCCGACACGGGCCGGCAGCGTGGCCTTGAACGGATTATCTTTCTGACGACGCGCGCTCTCGACGCGCTTCATAATTTCGCTGGAGCACTTGGAGACGACATCGTCCAGACTGTTCGATTCATCTGTGGAGTTCACTGCTTGGGTGGGAGTCTGCGAGCTAGGCAGGGGGGAGCCCTCGTAGCAGCCGGAGTCGCGTGGGAAGTGACGACGTCCGAAGGGGGAGGCTCCATGTTTCTTATTAATGTTGTTCAGGCGGGCCTCGTCGTTCTCCGAACTGGAGCCGGCAATGTCCACGTCAGAGCCTGTTCGGATAAAATTTGTAGCTGTGAGTGTGTGTTGTGGTGTTGGCGTGGGGTGTGGATGTGGGTGTGGATGTGGGTGTGGGTGAGTGGTGGTTGTGGGGTGGTCGTAGTATAAGCGATTGTTGGACAGGTTTTCTAGTTGGGGTTAGTCAACACTTACATTCGATGTCATGGAGCAATTGCACGGCGGTTAGTAGCTTAGCACGATGCTCCTGATTCACAATGCCCAGATAGTCGAGGTCGGCCGGCTCGAGTTCCTTGAACAGTTCCAGATCCTCGTAGCTGCAAATGGAACGATAGGTGAAACAATCCAACAAAAAATTGTTGTGAAATTTGTTTCATCTACACCACTTACCCGTTGAGCACGAACACCGAGGTGTATTCCTTAAGTCCAATGCGCACCAGTAGATCCTCCACAGAGTTCGGTCCGTTGTTGCTGCTGCCCATGTTGTTACTGCCGCCAATATTGTTGCCCAGCCGTGAAATCGGGGCCAGCGTTTTGCTGCTCGAGTTCTTCATGCGCTGCTCGGGCAACACCTCCACGTTAATAAACTTAAAGTGCCCGACGCGTCCATGGCAACGGCCCTTCCAAATGCCCGAAGCATTCATGGACAGCACGTCGATGAGTTCGCCCTTCTGCAAAAGGGTTTCAAAGCGAGCCAAGAAAAATAAATAATGTTGTACGATATGTAGTTCTAGTGTCATTAAATGCACATACACTCAAAGAAAACACTCTATAGAGTTATAAAAACATTCATTTCAAAGTAATAATAACAATCTGTACCCCAATTCTCTTCTCGAATCTCAGGCTCGACAAAGCATAGACGATTAACTTTATCTTAAAGCAGACAAAAACAAATTAAACCTATGGAATAGTATGTCATGGCAGGATCAGTTTAATGACTAAAGATATATATTACATATATATGTGATGCCATTTTACAGGAATGTAGCTATTATTATTCCATACTATGTTATTCAATATTGTGTTGTCAAATTATTCGGGCATTTAGTTTTATTTGTATAATATACAGAAATTGTTACATTTTTGAAATTTGTATTTGAAATAAAGGAACCGATAAATCCTTCTAACTTCGAACTTTTATCAAAGTTTGATTTTGAACTGAACAATTGACTGTAAATACTATTTGATTGATTGTGTATTAAAACATGACAATGAATGTTTTTAAAAAAGCAACCATTCCTAGTTTGAATATTTTCAGTTTTTAATAAAAGCTTGACTGTTTCTCTTGAAATGGGATTCCTTTTTTATTCTATTCAAAAATGCATTTTCTTCGAGTGTAAGTAAATAAGTATGTCTGAGATAGATAGAAGCAAGCAGAGACACTTCCAAAAGAATCTCTCTCTAGAGTGTGTTTGTGTGTGTGTGTGGTTATAGGAGTGTATATGAGTGTGTGTGTGTGTGAGTGTGTGTAGGTGTGTGAGTGTGCACTTTTATGCACTTTTGTTGCGTTTCGTCTCGTCTCAAGTTTTCGCTTTGGCTTACCTTAAATTTAAGCGCCTCTTTGTCGTACGGATTTGGCAGGCTATCGACAAGTGCTTTGGCTTTGCAAATTGTGGCTAACGATGTGCGATCTTCGGCAGAAATGGAGCTGTGCGGGCTGCCAGGACGCACCAGGGCTTGAGTGCCTGTGTGAGCAATGCATGTAAGGACGAAAGCATGATGATAGTTTAGGTTAAAGTTTAAATATTTGGTCAGTAAAATGAGGGAAGTTTTCCCAGCAAAATTTCCAATTAATGCGCCCACAGCCAATTAGCCAAAGGGTAAAGCAATTTCTAGTACTGTTGTACACTAAACACCCACACCCACACCCACAGCCACACCCATACATACACACACACACACACCCATTCGTTTGGTTAATTAAAAACTTTTCAAATATTTTCGCACACGCCCATACACACTGCACACAGCCGCATATACGAGTACATACTAGTACAAGTATATAGTATGGACTGCCCAAAATATTCAAATATGCACTTGAAGTTTTAGCAAAGCACGGCTGCTAATCCTTGCTTTGTCCTGCCACATAAAAATGAAGTATTTTTTCTTGCACTTTTCAAAGTTGATGCTGCTGTTGTCGGTTCTCGGTTGTTGCCAGAGAGCTGTTGTTGTTGTTTTTGTTGTTGTTTTTTATTTACTCGAGAATTTGCGCATATAGCCAAACTTTTGTTCATTAAAAACTGAGCGACAGGCAAGCACTTTTGCCCTTTATTTAACCACGCCCCAGACATTGAGCTAGCTCTCCGGCCCAACCACCAGGGCCACCAACATGAGCCTCATGGCCAGGGTCTGCACTTGCCACTTGACTGCAGCAACTCAGCTGAATAGGTCAGGGGTGGGAATAGAGGTGGGCATGGGCGGGGGGGTAGGGGGGCGGTTCGGTGGTTGCTGCAACAAAAAAGTAAACTTTCTCATTGCAAAAGTGCATTAAAAATTCATTAAGTTTGCAAAATTTCAAGTTATTGTGCAACAACGAAAAAACCGCTCACGAAAACAAGCCACGAACCGCAGCTACAACAACAACAGCAACAACAACTACAAACACAACTATAAAAACAAAAACAACAACAGCTACAGCTGTTAATAGACCAATATGCACACAGCTCGGGTTGTTGGAGCCAGCAGTCTGGGAATTTTTATAAACAAAGCGAAAGCTGAAAACAAACTGCTGAGCCCGGCTAGGGAATGCGGGTGGAGTGTGGGAAAGCGACTGCCTTTGCTGCTGCACCGAAGCAAAGGCAAAATCAAAACTCTAAATTGCAACACACACACACACACACAGAGAGAGAGAGAGAGAGCAATATACACTCACACCCAAACACACAGAAACATAAACATACAGCCATTTCTCGTACTTACTTGAACCGGAAGCGCTGGGTAAACTTTCGACGGAACTGGCGGAACATGCAAACGCCTGATCGCTCATGCTGCCACGGTCGGTATTATCTTGGGAATTGCTGAAATCCCTTGATGTATCCTTTGTGGCAACAAAGTTTCGTCCATTCTCATTAAATGCGCCAATTTCCTTTGGTGAGCTACGCATTTCGCCCGACTGCAGCAGCTCAGTGAAAGTTGTTGGTTGGTTCGTTGGTTGTTCGTTAGTTGATTGTAGTTGTTGGTGTTTATATTGGGTTGTTTTTGTTGTTATTGTTGTTGTTGAACATCCAGGCAGGCAGGCAGGCGCCATCAGCATTGGTGTCGGCATCGGAGCATTTCAAGTTGCACATGTTGTGCAATAAATTGTAAGGCCAGCAGAGAAAAGAAACGAAAAGCAGAGCGAAAGTTTTGTTAGTTAAATCATTAAAAAGTTTAATAGTAACATACACACACACTTAGGTACCTATATATATATACATATATATGTAAACAAAAAAGCTTAGTCAACAGCAACAACTACTGTACAGTGGGTCATTGCAAATGTAGAATAATAGAAGTCAATTCAACGAGCACTTTTTATCGCAGAAATGCATTTACTTTCTAAATTAAACAGAATTTTTATAACTTTTAGTTGTTTTGAAACAATTAAATTGAAAAAGTCTGACGGACTGATTTCTTGATTTTTAAAACAAACTAGTTGCCATTATATATACAGCATTTGGAGGACATAAGTGCGTTAATATTTCGTTCAATTCGATAGTTACCACTAGTATTACACTCAAGTACTACTCCTTCTTACTTAAATTTGTTTCTATAAGCATTTCCGACAAAGTTGTGAAGAAAAATTAAGACTATCTGTTGCAAGTCCTCACAGCAACGATAATGTGTAAATTTTAATGATTTGTTATAATGCTTGGTATTAATTAAGTATCCTATTAATTCCCTTTTTAAACATTTATCCAATGTTTCCTCTTTAGTTTGTTTTAACTCTCCAATTAGTCTAAGCAATTTACACATAACGAAAATTAAAAAGGAAACTTAATAATTCTTAAATCATTATTTATAAAAAAAAGATATATATAGTCCTGAAACTTTAATGAAAACAACAAAGCCGACAAATAATGCCCAATGAACCACTGTGCCTAGTTTTGAGGCACATGCTGGCTACAATGGTTCCGTTATACGGGTGTGGCATTCGTTTAGCCGAATTTCTTGGAAGGCATGAGGCATAAGTTGCGGATTGGGATTGAAGGCGCTGCTGATAAGCAATGTGGCAGGCAGACTATGAGAGTTGGGCCGTAACTTTGCTCATATATCGTCAAGTCAATGAAGCCCCCAATGCCAGACACTTAGGATTGGGCCCACTCGCTCACTTGGTCGCTGCTGTGCGGCGGCTTGTCAAACTTTCTGCGTATACCTCCAACAAACAAACAAATGCGAGTAAATAAACAAACGATTCAGCGAATGAACAAACAAACATCAAAGTTGTCTGCAACAATTTTGATGGATGCAATCGACGTTCTCGTTGCTGCACGAAAAATGCTCAAGTGTACAATTTTTCAAAGTCAAAATGAACTTTCACTTTTGCTCTTGCTCTTGCCCGTTTGTTGTGGTTTAGGCCATCAACATTGCCAGCATTACCACCAATGACCATCAACGCCATCGTCGACATCGCCATCATCATCATCATCGTGTTAGAGGCGCGCATAAAAACTCATTAAACTGGCATTTGCATTTAGAGTGCATGTCCAGGCGAAAGCTCCGGGACTCCAGTTGAACGAAATGCAACCTCTCTTAGTGATGTAAATCGAACAGAAAACATTGAACGGAATCTGAAGTTTTTCCTCAAACTTTACAGGCAGTACTGCACAGGAAGTGGTACTGCAGCAGCTTTGTTAAAAATCACGACCTATGGTAAGTATATTACTACTACATATTAAACTATTAAACTATTAAACTATACAAGAATAAACAGAATAATAGTGTTAAGTAAAAATTACTTTATAATAGCACTGTTTTCTTGTTTATTTAGGGGAAAGGGTCCTCCTTAAAAAAAGGCTTACAATATAAAAGGATTAATTAAAAATGGTTAAAACTTGATATGTATTTTTAAATATATTTATATTTCCATGGTTACGTTAATTGCACATGTAATTGAAATGAAAATGAAGCTATATATAATGATAAAGAATAGTATGTTTTCCTATTATAATTATGATATTTAATTGCTTATATTCTTAGATACATATACAGTGTCGGAACATACGACATAAATGTATAAATTTCTCATTTCATATCAATCTAATACTTATGTGTGGTAGTGTTGGATTTAATGATAACTCTGTGTCGTCGAATATGATTTACAGAGTTGAATTGTTGAGGTTTATCGATTTACATAAACTAAGAGATTTGGTGAAGTAAAATTGTGTAACATTCTAAGAGAGATTTTTTCAACGCACATTTTGTTGGCATAGGAAAATCTAGACAAATAAATCCAATTCTCCAAATCTGATCGGAATGGAATGGAATGAAATCTAGAATGGACAGCTTTTTATGGAGCTTGTAAGTCGTACATTCTTCTGCAATTCTCAGGCCAGAAACAATGTTGGATCTTTTGCAATTTAAAGGTATTCGATATTTTGCAAAACACAGATGCATCCATGCTGCTTCGATGTGCATTTGCATCTCTAACAACTGACAGGCAATAGCTTTTCTGGCTCCATTTTTTCGCCCTCATGTTTCGGGCAAAGAGTTTTTCAGTTAGGCACTCGTATGGTGGAGTGTGGGGCGAGTAGGCGCATCGTTTTAGACAAATTGCAAGTTGACGGCGCTTAGATGGCCGAAACCAATCAGGCGTGTATGTAAATGCGACGGTTCTGGGTTCGAGCTAATTACATTTTATACACACACATACCCATATAGACACACGCACGTGTTGTTGTTTTTGTTGTGGCAAAGTGCAACAACATGAAATGCGCTTAAGCAAACGGAGGCAGGGATTTGCGGCCAATGGCTGTGTCAACAAAATTGACTGCACGGCGCTTAGCTGGCTTTGTTGTTGCAAAATGCATTTTCACTCATGCACACACTCACACACACAGACACAGAGAAATAGACACATACAGGAATCGGAGAGACAACTGCTTAGTCATTAATTAACTTACATGATGCACCGTAGCCTTCTGACATATCGTGTTCGCCTTGTGGGGCAATCCATTCTTTTTGGCCTTAGCAGCCAGACTTGGCGGCAAGCCGCGTGTGGCGCCAATGTCCTCGTAATCGGATGATGGACTTGGCGACAGCGATGGCGACTCCCCGATACCGCCGCTTAGGGTCCGATAGCGTGCCGTGCAATTGTTGGTGCCAATCTGCAATGCCAGGAAGTTTAAGATAGGGAATGAGTCGAAAGGAGTTGATTCAATGAGTGCGGGAGGTGGAGGTGGAGGAGGAGGGGGAGGGGGAGGGGGCTGGTTTCATATTAGCCAAGTCAACTTTGGAAATGAAATGGCCAGGCTGCTGCTGGTGCTCGTTTAGTTTGGCTTAAGTGGTGACATTGCCGTCCTTTTCAACAAAATTCGAGCAAAAAAGTCAACTTTTGGCTAAAAAGCTTTTCAAGTTTTTATGCATTGCCCAACCATTCTCGAAACTTCTAGCTTCGTTCGTGCATTTGCTTTCCCCAGCCCCACTGTTTACTTTATTTTTATTCCCATTTTCTCAATTTCCATTGCAGACGTAGGCGAAATCGAAATCCGAAATCCGGAATGCGAAGTTTGTTTGTCACAAAGTGCACTTAATCAATTTAGACGCACAAACGCACGTGGGTCCAGGACTTTGGCACAGAAGTAGAAGTTGGAAAAACAGCGGGCTTGGCAGGATGAAAAGGGAGGGGACTTACCGAAACGGCGCTTAGTCGTGAGGTAACGCTTTGTAAATCCGAAATGGAGCCCGCATAGTCGCCGCTTTCACGATCATGTGATCTGAAATTATATAAACGTACAAATAATATTTGTTATTCAATATCAACTTGAAAGTAAATCAAATCAAATCTGTGCACTAACTAGCACACAAATCTGACACTTCAGCATGACAAGCTCTATGATGCCAAAGCAAAGTTAAGCCTGCAGCTTTGGCGCATTGAGAAGTTTGGATTTCTACAACAATGTTGTGCTTATTTTCTTGTCGCAGGACAAATAAACACACCAATAAACATTCGCAACCTCAAAGGTATCAATATATGTGTATAACAACGGTCGCATACACTGCAATAGAAACAGAAAAAGTGGAAATCAAAAAAGCAAATATGAATCGAAAGAAAGCAGTTTGTTAATAAAACGCAAGAATTGAAGATAATGCAATATCGATTTGCAAGGCCGGACAAACTTATTTTGAACGAGCAGTATTTTGCTTAAACTTGACATTACAAATTTTAAAAACATAAATAAATAAACCAGAAAGACATTTTCTCTAAAATAAAATTAAACAAGCATATTTTACGCTTTCAATAAACGAATAATTAATATAATTCGAGTGAATAAAATGAAAGCGTATGGTGAAGAGAAATTTGGTAATAACTCAATTCAAATTATTTAGAGCTATTGATACAAAAAGTATATTTAGATTTTTTAAGTGTTTACTATATTGTATGCCCTGCCAAGATTAAATCAATGGAATTGTTGTTTATTTTGCGAAAAGTTGTAGATTCGTGTACAGTAGAGAACAAATATAAAAGTGATTGTATTCATGAGAGGCACTCATAATTGGGTTTCCAAACAAATATTGCAATTAATAATATAAATTGTTTTAAATGTATTCTCACTTTGCAATTATAGTAGATCTGTTCCTATTTAAGTGAACAATGCTGTGTTAATGTAAGTTCTGGCACGCGGCGCACTGCGCAAACAAAGCTCATATAAATAAATATTTTATACCTTTTTCTTTTCGAGGGTCTATGGCCGTTTGACTTTAACACTGTTGAGATTTTACTTTGGTTTATTTTCTCATTTTTGTTTGCTTGCTTTTACTTTCTTCGTGTTTTTTTTTTGTTTTTTGCTTGTTTGCTGTTTTTTTTTTTTTTGAGAAAAAAGTTTTCTCTTTTCGGCTACTTGGGCCCGGAGGCGCACCGGGCGTATAAGTTATTTCAGCACGTCTTTTGTATAGTTTCCAGTGCGTACGTGTGGAAAAAGGCTCGTAGGGTTGCCAACGCTGCTGCTGATTGACGAGCGACCGGCGTTGAAGTAGCAATAATGCCATTTCATTCGGCTGTTGGCTGGTTGATTGTGGTATGGCCAATATGTTGCATGTGTGTTTCGTTGTCTTCTTATTTGTTTTGTTGCTACCTTGACGCTGTTTCCCTATTTGTCTGTTCGTCTGTTCGCCTGTCTGTCTGTCCGTCTGTCACGTTGTCTGCCAGTCATTCTCAATGTTTGCCCATCGTTCTTTATTTCTGTTCTCCAATTTTTTTGTATTGTGGCGTGCGTAACAATATGAAATTGATGACTTTCGCTTCGATGCGTTTCGATATGTTGCTCGAGCGTATAAAACCGACGGATTCAGAGTTGAGGTCGTATTCGGAGTCCGAGCTAGTCAGCCCGTCATTCATTCATTCAGTCATTCATGTGGCTGCAAAACGTTGATAACAACACTAATGAAGTGAGGCTACCTTTTTGGCCTCGGTCGGTCAATCCTTTTACGTCTTTCCACTGATATTATTATTATTGTTGGTGTTGTTGTTGTTGTACAGCGCCCACCTTTTCAAATTGACAAATAAATTTGGGGGGGTGAGGGATTTTTTGGGGATAGTTGAGTTGTTTGATTGCTTTGCCTTTGCCTTTGCTTTTACTTTGCTTTGGTGGCCTGTGATTCGTTTGGTCACTCAGCCATTCATTGTGTGAGCGTGCGGGCAAGGACTTTGATATCTAACCGATTCAAGCCAACTATTAGTGTTGGGTTATTGTTGTTGTTGTTGTTATTTCTATAGCTGTTATTGCTTGTTTGCTGAGTTAAATGTTTGCCCTTTTCATGCTATGCTGCACACATTTGTGGCACATTTTTATAGTTCAATGAACAGCAGCAGAAGCAGCCGAAGCAGCAGTCGCATGAGACAGGTCATTTGGTTGGTCAGTTTGTGGGTGTGGGAGAGTGATGGGCGTTGCCTTTGAAGTGGACTAAATCGAAAAGGTTAAAGGGTTAACGCCTCAAACAGCCCACTTTTTATTGCTGACACACACACACACACTTGCACCTAATATTTGTGTGCCACACGGCGTATACGCTATATCTGGTATACTTAGTCACATTCTACGCCCGGGGCTAACAATAGCAAATGCCCTTTTTATGCACCATGAACAAAGTTTAAGCTCACAATTTGGTCATTTCGTAATCATGCCTGCCCTTTCTCGGCTTGTCTGGGGGAGTCGGGGTCGGGGTCGGGTACGGGGTACTGGGGACTGGTGTAGCAGCGCGTCATCCGTTGGCAACACTTGAGCATTTATTATTAATGCGCGAGCCTTGCCATTTGCCACAACCTCAACTGCAAATAATAATGGCAATCAACAAGGTAGTCGCCCAAACAGAATCACCCAAGCACACACACACACACAGATATACACATTTTTTTGTTGGGCTAGCTGACGTGGGGTGGAAACACTCACCTGGCATGCGTTAACGGTATTATTGTCGGTGGATTTGGCGGCTGCTGTGGCACGATAAGCCCACGTCGAGGTGGTCCGCGTTGTGGCAGTGAAATATCTCCGGCGGATCTTAATGAAATTACGCCAGTACTCTCGCGATTCGTGGAAAAGCGCACCCGGCCACCCTGTAATGAGAGAAGAGGCAAAAGAAAATATAGAGAAAGATGTAGCAGTAGACAACAAAAACATGGGGATTAGCGTTCAAGTAGAATTTGTTGTGCGACGCCAACGAGCAACAGCAACAAAATTATGAAAAATTAACAAAGTTATAAAAGTTTATAGTAGAACACGCAGCGAGACTGCCAGCGGAGGCAGACGGGCAGACCCCATCGGCCGCTTTATGAGACTTTATTTGACGCCTCCTGCTCCCGCACTGTGGTGCATTTAAAAAAGAAGGAAATGTAAATACCCTTTTCTTTGCAGATAACGATATGATTCAGTTTGTATTTTTATCAAAAAAATGATCGGATTTGTAGCATCGAATATTGCGGCGAAAGACGAAAGAGCTCATACGTACAAGTATTTATATGAAATCAACATAGTTTTGTTTTGAAACATAACAATATTTGATATTGTCCTTTATTTGCTTTTTTCTTCAATTGCTATGCATTTTATTGGCGATGGACAATTTTCACTCTCCCATATATATATATTGAAACCATTTTACAACAAAAGTTGATAAAACAGTCAATATATTTTTTGGTCGTGATTGCGATTCAAAACAACGTTAGATATTTGAGCACAAAATACATAAAGTTCTGTCATTTGTGTCAGTTGTATTTTTTGTTGTTGTCTTGCATACATATGTGAAAGTTTATTTCAATTTAAAACTAAATTGCAAAACCATCTTCAGATTGGAAAAACGGAGAAATTGGAAAAAAGTTTTGGACAGATTTCTAAATTATGGACTTGAATATAAAGATCAGCTTAGTTTTTTTTTGCAAATTCAATAAGTTTTACAATGCAGCAAAAAAGTTTTACAACGCGTAAAGTTTTCGAATTCGATATAAATTCTAAAAATTAAAGCAGAATTAAAAGCAGTTTAAAATTTTTAGTTCCATCCAGCTCTAATGCATTTTTAGATTGTTTCATTTTGCATGAATAATATAATAAAACTATAAAATATAATAATGTGAATAATGACATATTTTTTGTCCGTGTGAACCACTGTTTGGAGTTGCTGTTGCCTCCTCCCCTCTAAGCTATCGCTACAGCTTGGCGCCTTTATTCGCGAGAAGAGAAAAGAAAACTTTGAACATACAGCCATGTACGTATGGTTTGTATGTGAGTGCTATTGTTGTTGTTGTTCTTGTTGTAGCTGGTAGCTGCTGTTTTGGTAGTAGTATTATAAATTTAGAGTTGGGAGTGAGCGACCGTGCAATATCCGGAAATTGTAAAGTTTTTTGATTTTAATTTCGTTTAGCATGCAAGTGCCTCGTAACATGTTGCGCATTAATTTTGACTTGCATATCTAAGCAGCAACAGTTCAAAGTTTCCAACGAGATACCCATTGAGGGGCGTCCCATACGCCGACTGCGAAGATGCTAATGCGAGTCTCAAAATGTGTAGTACGCACCGTTGCACAAATACAAGATGCTTAACCTTTTATTTATTTTGTTGTGGTCTTATTTTGGAGGCCCCAAAAGTGCTGCGCACACCACACCACAACGAAAACTTTTCCCTTAGCTGCAAATTTTTTTATTTTTGTGGAAGCGCTTTCGCCCTTTTTCTTAGCGGTCACATCAAAGTGAAACGGATGTTGAAATACCAAAACTTCAGGCTCAAGGATATCGATGCTTGCTCGGCTATGGCCTCGACATCGGCATCGGCCTCTCTTAGATGTCTTGAGTGATTTCAATTGACTAAGAAAACAAATTTTGCCATTACAAACAAAAATGGGCCGTCGCTGACTAATGCACTGACTACCCCGCCGATAAAAGCGCAACTTATGCCAGAATTATGCAATGTTAAAAGAGTGGGAGAGACGGGGGTAGTAGGGAAAGGAGTCGAGAAATAAGAGGGGGGAAAAAGAAAAAAGTCTCAAGTCGTCGAAGGCGAAGCTGCCTGCAAGTCAACAGGAATTATGCACTTTTTTGGCCTGTCAATAAAAATAAAGTGAGTTCGAGTTAAAAGCAGAAATGCCAAAGGACATGAACATCGAAGTTGGGAAATCAATGCGCAAGCAAAATATATTCAGCGTATAATTTAATAAAGCAAATAAAAAGCAAAATGAAAGCCACAAAGAGGCAGCAACTTTGTGGTCGCTCCTTCAGCTTTGGAATTCTTCTTCGATTCTTGGGCTTGTGGGTGTTCAGCCCGGGGGCAACAAATCCACAGAGAAATCAAAGTTGCAGTTGGCTTTGTGTTTGGCAAAACGAAAGCATGTAGTGAGTCAACGAGCCGTGCAACCAGCTCCTTCCCAGCGCTTGCTGCGAAAGACGAGCACAGCGGGCGCAGGATTAACAACCGAAGACGAATGTGGCGCATAAATTCAAAAAGTGATTGTGAAGACGACGCTGGGAGTGGGGCCTGAAATAGTTGCTAGGTTGCTGTCCTGAGACGACAATGCGCCACATTGTTGAAGGCAAAGTGTATTTTTGACTTGCTCTGCTATCGGCAACTCTGTTCGCAGTTCAACTTGTCGTTGTTGTCGGCGTCGTCGCCGCTGCTGGTCCGCCTCTGATAAAGTGCATGCCAATAAGTGGGCACAAATGTTGGTGGTAAGCCGCGCGCATAAATCAAGCCATACGTTAGCTCTCTTTTAGAAATTGCAGCATACAGTGGGTATCGTCTATATATAACGTTTAAATGTCAAAGCTTAGCTACTTGACAGGAGAAGCGCGGAAGAAAGCCCAAATAAAATATTTCTTTTATAGATTTGGAGAACTTGATTATAATGGGAATGCAAAAAAAAAAATTAAGAAATTCTGTTTTCTTAAATAAATAAAATGTATAAAAATTTTACAGCTTTTTAAGGACTTTACATCCTAGTATGTGTATTTTAATTGTATGTCTATGTCACAAGAAAACTTTTACAATATTTGAGTTATGTGGATTTCAATAAATGACAAGAAAGAAGCTAAAGCTAAATCCTCCAAACCTACATCAAGCTATATCGCCAATGCCTTTCCATGCAATATTGACTGTTGGCGGTATTTCAATGACAATCGCTTTGAATAACTGCGACCAATTTAATAACGTAGAGAATGCTGATGAAGCACTTACCTGAATGGTAGCAGCCGGTCCACAATTCAAGCCTGCCATTAGAAAATCATCCGGATCGCTTTCGTAGGGCGGTTCGTCGTACCAGTGACCTTGATGATGCAGAGCACTAACCGCATAGTGAGCACCACCTCGTATGGCATCGTCATACATATAAGTGTCGTCTGCAAATGGATAGACTGTGTGTAGAAATGTATGTGTGTGCAAAACATATACAAATATACATACAATACAATACAATACATGTGTCTGTGTTAGTAAGGGAGTCTACAAATAATTGGCTTTGTGCTAAGCTTTAAATGCATGGGCCGTGCACATATGTTCACAAAGGCCAAGATCCAGAGGAGGAAGTCACTGGGAAAAAAAAAGTGCAACAAGGCAAAGTTTGGAGCGCCGAAAAATGTGCAACAACAGCAGTAGTGGCAACAAAATGGCTACACAATATTATTATACGCAACGTTGCACACAAAACTGCACAAAACTTGAAATGGAATTTTCCACATACGACCAGAATGAAAACTGGTAAAAAGTTGTTGTCGTCATCATTGTAGTTGTTGCTTTTGTTGCTATTGTTGTTGTCGTTGGTGCAGCCGTTGCTGTTGGATGCTGTGCAGCAATGCCGGAAACGGACATAAGATTTTATGCTCGCTTATGCATGTGACGCTTGCCAGACGATGATGCTGACGCAGACTCTGGCTCTGACGATGGCAATGAAGCCTAAGCCCTCCTCCTGGCCTTCTGGGTGCTCGTTGCAGCAGCATTTCAAGTGTAAAATTTTTCTGTTGCATACTTTTGGGTGCATGCAGTGCTTAGCATGTAATTTTAAAGCTTAGCATTTGGCGCCTTTTTTATTACGTCATTTGGTAGCAATTTAATTGAAATTGTTGAAAGTACGTACCCATGCGTCCCTCACCCCGACTCATCTGCAACAGGCCCTGGCGTATGTCGCGTAAAATCTGAAAAGAAACAGAACGAAAACATATACATATATAAAAAAAGGGCGCATATAAAAAGTACGATGCTGATGATGATGACGTGCATAAATATTACTGCTTATACAAGCTAGAGTTTATTAAAGCAGTCGTTGTTGTCTTCATCTTGCTGCTGCTGGTGCTGGTGTTGCTGCTGTTGCAGTCATTTGTATATTTTGGGGCACTTTGTCTTGCCGGGTTGTTGGACGACTCTAAGGACGTGACCGTTGTGCGCAATAAGGTTCGCAGCCTGTCTGTCAACATTGGCAGGCATCGTCAGATGTTTCATCTTATTAGCCGTTGCAGCAGTAGTACTGGTACTGGCAACAGTATCTAAGATGGTTGCTGTTACTGTTGCCTTTGTTGAGTTGAGCGCATTGCAATTTTATTTTGAGAGCAGGCGTTAAAATTACAAAATTCCATTTGGAAACTAAAACAATTTCAAAGCAAAAACTTGCCAGTAGCCTGGTAAAAATGTTGCTTCTACATTTATTGTTGTTGCTGCTGATGCCGCTGGCTTCTTGCAACATAATAGCGCAATGTGTGCTGCATACTAATTCAAGTCCATGAGCGTCGATGTTTGTGTACGCTGTGTGTGACGAGAAAGCATGCCAGGGCCAGCAGCGTAAAAGGCATTGCTGAAAAATTAGCTAAAAGCTTTTTGGACACATTCATACATACATGCACACATATAAAAGTATATATGTATATGTACTATACATGCACAATCACATTCGCATTTATATAGCACGCATTAAAAATGCATTCAAATAACATTTGGAATGCAATGGCAATACATTTTGTTCTTTCCTTCTTTCTTTCTACTCTCGAACGCTTGTTGACCAAAAGTTGGTTATCGAGAGAGTGTGTTGCCACGCAAATTGATATTTACGTTTATTCGAGACAACAGGAAAACTTTCTTCTTCGAGGCAAGTGCGATGAGTATATGTAAACAAATAGCTACGGTGCTTAATTACCAGGCAAAGAAATTGCAAACATTTGTCCAGCGCTTGTTGTTGTTGCTGAAACTGCTATTCCTGCTCATCATAAATATTTCATGTGCATGAAATTTTTCGGGCCTGCACAATGTTGCCACACAACGTGGCAAAAGGAAAATCATCTAGCAGCTAGCAGCCTGGCAGCCAGGCAGCAACAAAAACAGCAATTACAATTAGACAAACAGAAAGTTGTTTGCACAAGTTAAGCAGCAGTAGCAGCAGCAGCAGAAACAACAACGTGTGTCTCTCTATGTGTGTGTCTCCCTATGTGTGCGTATGTGTTTGTGAGTATGCTTTTCATTTATGCACAAAAATTATTGCCGTTGCTTAGGCGCACACGTAAATAGAGGAGCAGAGCATAACAGCAAGGCCCTCGCATCCTTGTCGCTGTGTATGCAAACACATACACACACACATACTCACACACACACACTCATAGATAAAGACAAATTGTCATGCAGCAACTCAATTTAAGCGCCTATGTGTGCACGGAGTTGTGTCTAGAACAAATTTTGCATTTTAGTTTTGGTACTTTTGGGAAGAGCATGCGATTAGCCTACAGTTGGCTTAGTCAGAATGCAAAGCCAAATGAATGCCTTTCACAGAGTTTACGGCTAAGCAGCACAAAAAGCATATTTGGGACTTAAGAAAGCATTAGACGATAGAGGAAACGCTTTAAAGGACTTTGTCTTCAATCGAATGGAAATCAAAAGCAGAGAGCATGTATGATTGTAACCTAGTAGGTGGGTGGAAACACAAGCGTGCCTTGTTTGGAAATGTTAAATATAGGAAGAGCTTCTCTGCTATTCTATGAATACAATATTTCCGGAAAAATATTCAAAGCTTTTTTGGAAACAATTATGGAATTAAAACTATATTTTGGTTCAAGTTGGACATTTAAAAAGGTTCCGCTACTATTTTATATACATTAGTACTTAATTAATTTTCTCAGTTTCCTTCTTTAGGATATTTGTTAACCATAATAGTAACAGTTTTGAACATAAAATTTGTATTGTTACCAAGACACTAAACACTTAAATTTTATATCAAATATAAACCCATATAAATCGCTTTAATTGTTGATTTACGAGCTAACGTAATCCGCTTCAATTTTAATTTAAAACTTGAATACTAATCTCTCTGATTGTGAGTCTTAATTTAATTGGTTCCATAAAAGCGTCATCATAAAACTATTCTGCTCTCCTATCTGTAAATAACTTGGACTTATCTCAACTAATGAGCTGCAAAATTATGTTGTAGCGTTCATAAACTTTACAACAGCTCGACCACGCCCCATACATATGCACACACAAACACAACACACACATACAGATAGAAAATAAAACAGGGGGGGGGGGGGGGGGGTAGAGAGGGAAGCAACACCTTTGTCGCTGCCGACATGGCCGTGTGCTCGGTAAATTTTCAAGTGTAGAAAATAATTTTTATGACAGACAAAAAGTTTATCATTTGCCACGTCGCACTTCATTGTTTTTGTTGTTCTTGTAGTGTGCGTGTGCTTATATGTTGTGTGTGTGAGTGTGAGTGTATAAGTACATGTGTTTATGGCTGCCTAGCTATGAAATGTCGGTATGCTCGACTCTTGGCTTGTCTGTGAGTGTGTTTTGCATGTTTTCGTACATTTGGCTTAGCTAGAGAAGGGAATGCCCTTTTCTGTTTTTTTTTTTTGTTTTTGGTTTTTGTTGGACCACCACCTGCTGAGCACGTCATGACGTGTGCGCGCTTTAAGCTAAAATAATTGCTGTTTTTGTATAAAATATTTTAATAGCTTTTTTAATTGCCTCGCATGTAAGCGTATTTTCATTTGCATACGGGAATTTAGTTATCTACGGACATTACTGGCAGAGAAAGTGAAAATTCTTGTCTTGCCTTGTCCTCTTGTTTGTGTATTTATGCAAATAAAATGCTCGGCCAGAGAGCAATTGAAAATGGAATAGTTTATATGTGTATATCTCTCAGGTATATTTGTATTCGTGCCTTCGTCTGCTTTCTTCAATTATTTTTATTTAATTTGTGAAAAACGGCAATAAGCAAATAGGCTTGATTTATTTTTGCAATTGCAATTTACAGTATGTTTATGTTTGGCTTGTTAGATGAAAATTTTATGTTTTGATTGCCCAGCATGACATACATGCCGTATACGTAATGGAAACTTGAGACAGTTTTGTTTAAAAGACTTGGTCAGTGTTCAAGACTTACCTCCTCGTGTTCACGTTGAAATTTCTCCTTTTTTCGCATTGCTTCTTGTACTTTTAACTGCAAGTTAGAAAAAGAAAAATTGTGAAATTTTGTATAGGTTTGTGCTGACAGATTGATTTGGTTTATTCATAAATAAATATTAAAGAATCAAGCAATTTCTGTAGCTCTCTCCCTCTTTTTATGCAGATGTATCTTTTTTAACAAACATTCAAAGTCTATTTGAAGTCAAGGTGTTGCCTGCCACGTCATAACTCGGTGTGAAAACAGAGGCAGGCGAATCTTGTGGGAGGCTCTTGGTTGCATGCATTATGCAGAGCACAACGATGGGCGCTGCAAGCTGTTGCTGTTGCAGCTGTCAAGCACCTACTCCCACACCAACGATGTGCTGTTTTCCTTGCTGTCTGTTTTGTTGCCGTTGTTGATTGCATTTTGTTGCTTGTTTTTAGTTGCGAGGCGAGCGGGCGCGCGCCCTGTCATTAATAATGAATGTCGACGGCAATGAACTTTTAAATGTTGCATGCATCTACATTTTTGTATGTGGCACGAGTTGTTATTATTGTTGTTGTAGTTGTAGTTGCTGTTGTTGGTACTGCCTGACATGCCATTACAGGTAAACGTGCTCAAACGCAACAGCCACAGCTTTTGTGCTGAAATTACATTACAAATGCAATGTGACGCAAGAGGTTGCAACGCGTTGGGTTCCTTTTATTCTTTTTCAATGAACATTTGTAGAAATTTAGTTGATTTTGTTCTTGTTCTGGGTTCTTTTTCGGTTCTGTGGGCGACTGTTATATTGCTAGACAACGTCAAAGTCACAGCTGCTGCCATTTCTAACGGCCATTTCTTAAAAGCGCATATATACATATGCACCTTAGATGTATGTATCTAACATGTAGTATAAATATTTATACAATCCACCAATCCACATCCATATTTATTACGTATACGTAGTGGTGTCGGCAAATATTTGTGGCAGCGTTTGTGCGGGCGCTTGTTTCTATGCTGCAGATGCTCGTTATATTTTGTATAAAGACTGGAGAGAGCTACGGATTGCTTAAGGTACAACATAAAAGTATTGAAGTAATTAGAATAATCATAATTAATTGCATACAAGTCTTGGAATTTTAGGATATACAAACTATGTTAGTTAGTCCATTACTTTCTTCAACTTACCCTATGGATTGTCTCCTCGAAACTTTGTTGTGGCAAGCCGGCGGCTCCGCCATTTATCATTTGAAAGTGTCGCAGGCGATCATTGGCCGCCTGTGGAGTGAAAAAAGAGCATAATCAATATCGGTATACTTAACAATAATTAGCAGGTCTAATTTAATAGCCAATGAAACAAAAATTGAATTTTTTGTCGTGCCAGAATATTTAATAATAAAAAGAACACAATTCCCAATAAATGAAGTTGGTCGTGCCCTGCAAACTCTAAGCTCCGCTCGGACTTGCAGGGCCATCCAAACAGACTCATAAATCAAAGGCTGACTAGGGCGTAGTAGCAAAGTACTTGGCCCTTTACGTGCTTTATCGCTATTGTTGTCTTCTTAACTTGCCGCATTCTTACGCGCCTCGTTTTGTATAGATATTTCACACCTTTCAGGTGGGTTTTAATTTTTAATTAATAACAAGTCAAGCAACGAGGGTCGAGACCCATTTGACCCTGCCCTGCTGTACGCAATTCTAAGTCTAATGCGTTTGTTTTCTTATCATAAATAACAAATCAGCAGCTGGAGTAGGAGCTGAAGAAGGGAAAGAAAAAATTAAAGAAGCGAAGCATGTGTTCGCTGCTACAGGTCGTTCAAGTTGAAGGGTCCTGAACACATGGTGCTGTATACTTTACATTTTTGTTTGTTTGTTGCAACGCTGTTTAATTATATTTTGAAAAATTCATCAGGGCTCACATACACATACACACACACACACACAAACATGATACATGCGGGCAACTTTTATGGAGGATACTGCTACTTAGGCGCATATCCTTAGTCATTTCCTGCGCTTATCTGTCCGCTGACGCTGCCGCCACCGCTGTCCCTTTCCATGTGTTTACCTACGTTGGCGGGCATACATTATGGGAGAGCTGGCTACCATTTCTCGGGTATGTTTATCCCTTTTCGTTACGTACATACGTTTCTTCTTTGCTTCGTTTTATTATTTATTTTTTAGCGTCTTTTATTTCGCCAGCGCCTCAGCTCAGTCGTTCTTGCCATGCTTTTGAAAAATTTATGCATGTCTTTGCTTATTTATGAGCGTCGTCGTCGTCGTTCTCGCCCTCGTCCTTGTCGTCCCACTCACTGGTTCTTTTCGCATTTGCTTGTTTAACGTTATCTTTGGCCACAGTTTCATTGCCATTGCCTTTTGTCATGGGCCCGGCGCAAGAATAGTGCAAAAAAAAGCAGAAAAATAAAAAAATATATGCAAAAGGCTGCTGCTGCTGTTCCCAAAAGGTTGCTGCTCTAATCAAAGGCGCTCAGCGCTCGCGCACTAACTTGACGGTGAATGAATCCTTTGTGTATGTAAGTGTGCGTGCTCGTTTTTGTGTGTGTGTGTGTGTGATAAAGTAAGTACAACATTACGACTATACTGAGGAAGTGGCAATGTAGACATAGCCGCCGGGCAATGGCAACACAGCAGCTTCAACAATTTTAACCTTTTCTTCGACGACTGCATTGAGGAGTCGCTGGTTGAGTAGCAGCTGCCACCACCAGCGTTGGAGCCCTAGTGGGCGCGCATAAAAATTTACATGTCCCCAGGGCTAAGATTAAGTGCGGCAGGCAGAAAAGAAGTAACAGCAAGACGCAGTCATTCAGTCAAACAGCCAGCCAGTCAGTGAGTTAGTCAGTCAGACGGAGAGACAGACAAACAGTCAGCAGACAATCAGACAATCCGACAGACAGTAAAGTCAAGTCAGTTAGTTGGCAGCAGTAACAACAAAAAAGGGTCATAAAAGACAAACGGAAGGAGCAACGCACGCTAAGGAAAAGGGCGAACAAATAAATTGAAAGAATTACCGCAGTTGATTTAAATGAAAAGTGCGGCAAGCGCAGAAAGGACAAACAATTTGCCTGCGGTCATAAAACGAAGCGCGAAAATGAGTTTCAAGTTGCAAATACGAGTATTGCGATTGGGTGGATGGGTGGATGGGGAACCAAGGGGATTATTGTTGCACAAACAGAAGTTGAACTTACCCTGGCCTGTGCACCATTCTGTTGATTGTTGCGATCCCGCCGATTTACAGTTTTCAAGCCTTTCAACAGACGCGCCAATGTTGTCCGTTTCTTCGTCTCGCGACCTTCTGCAATAGATGAGAAAAACCATCGGGAATGAGAGGAGATGGTGCATGGAATTGGATTAGTACGCTTGCGTAGGGACAATTGCAATTTTCTTACCTGCAGTCGGTGGAAATTCATAAAAATATGCGGAGCGTGGACTCAGACAGCTGCAGAAATAGAAGAAGAAGCAATTCAATTTATCAATCAGAGTAAAGATGGAAACGAAAATCTTAGCTGGAATCCGATTAAAGTATTAGATATACGTATGGTCTGTGAATATGTATCAATTATATATGAAAATATTCAAAAAAGTAAACTAGTCGAGCCTAGAAATAGCTGAATATCGATTGCATTGGCTAAATGAAGTTTATTGTTCATATTTTCTTAGCGAACAACATTATTATTTTTCTATATTTTCTAAGACTGACATTTGAGATGTACGACATAGTTTTGAATTGAACATTATTCAAGGATCTGGTTTATCAATTTCTGTTTGGCCATTTTTGAAATTTAAAACTTTTATTCCATGACTAATCTATCAGGCTCTACGAATTTTTCACATTAAATAGGATTTCAGATGATGTTTTTATATCTACAAACACTACACAAACGTTTCATTATCAACTCATATATTCTACTCTTTTTGAAATTATTGATACGTGTTTAGTAAGTTTTGATCCCCTCCTATAATACGGCATATAGTCTCCCATACTCACTTTTGTTGCACAAAATTTAAATGCGCTACGTTTGGCGGGAGGGTTTGATGCTGTTGGTGTGGACCTACGATGCTAGCGCCGGGCATTTGCATCCCTGACGCCGTCGCCTGTTGTCCTGGCACAATTGGTAGTTGTTGCTGCTGCTGTTGTTGTTGTTGCTGCAGCTGATGTTGCTGCTGTTGGTGTATGCTTTGCTGCGTTTGCAATGTCTGTTGTTGCAGCAGCTGTTGTTGTTGCGTTAACGCGCCACGTGCCACACGCGGCGCAAAGACGCCATAGCCAAAGCCGTAGATCTCATCCTCCTCCTTGTCTGACAAGCAACTGGAGGGCTAGAAACAGAATGCAAGTGGATTATAATTATTTCTCCGCTACAGATTTTCTCATATTATTCAACGTGCAACATGCAACAAATCATTTAAATCAATTGAAATAATAATAACAGAAATTGAATATATATATTTTTTGTTGCTTAAACACAAAAAACAACAACGACGAGCATGTCAAAGGTTAAGCAAAATGCAAAATATTTACAGTTATTTACATTGCTGATGTGCTTGTCCATGTTCTTATTTGTTTTTGCTCATGGTTGTTTTTTTTATTATTACAATAATAATTTGTTGTTGGCATAAATGTATTGTATATCAAAGTTTTGTGTTTGCCGTTTTGCGTGTTGACCCAATTTTGTGGGGCGATCTACAAGTTTATTGTTTTTCTGAATGTTCTGTGGGATGTTTTTGTGGCTTTTGTTGCAGTTTGTTATTGTTTATGTTGCTGTAGTGATGGTTGTAGTTTTTGTTGCTGTTGTTGTTGTTGTGTATACATACCGAGTACTTTCCTGGCACATAAATGGGTTGACTATGACTATTGGGCAGGCCGGCGCCATGACTGGAATGGCCGCGATGGCCATGCTGTTGGCGATGGGCAGCAATGATGCCCCCGCCACCGCCACCGATGCCGCTGAAGGCACTGCCGCTGCCGCCACTGCCGCCGCTACTGCCACCGGCAGGGTTGAGCGGACTGCGTTCCGCCCATGCCGCTTGTCTAGCATTTTCTAAAGCACTTAAAATATCTCCGAAGGGAGCCATTAACAATTCACAATAGACGGATGCTAGACCCTCTAAATGACCGCGTTGTCCATCCTGCAAATAACACACACAGTACGAATAAAAGTTTGTTGTCTTTGGCAACTTCTAAATGTGCATTGGATGGATGGTTGTTGGGTAGCTCGGGTTAATATATTGGGGGCCGGGTATTGGGTATTGGGGGGGTGGTTAGAGGTGTTGTATGAAATGCTAATGCATTGCACAGCTGGTGGTGCAAGACTTTACTGACTTTTCGAATTTAATGAGCAGTTAATGTTATTGATGTTTGGATGCTGGATGGAGAGAGATTTGGTTCGGTTTGCATTGGTTTACTTGTTTGCTGGTGATTGGCATTATGTTAATGGCGTTGCTTGCTTGGTTTGCTTGTTGTTAGGTTTAATAATTGAATCATTTGGTGTTGGTTGGTTTCGATTGGACAAGCGGTTAGTGGGCAGCAGGTGCGGGTTGACTAAACTACAACAAAACTAGCGGGCAGCTAATAGAGTCAACAGCTTAAATATGCAAGGCACTACTACATACGTGGCGTATGAGTGTTGGGTATATAAACAAGTGTACGAGTATGTGTATGTGTTAGTTTAAGCGTGTTAGTTGTTGCTATAATTTGCGCCTTAATTCAAATTAGTTTGGCGCTCGGCGCCAATTGGCGCAAATTATTAACTCGCTTTAGCTCTCAAAGCACTTAAAGTGCCGCAGCTATTAATGCATTTAGGTATACTTTAGTGTATGTGTGTGTATGTGCCGAATGGAGGCATAAATTATGGCACTGGTTTATTACGCACACACACACACAGACATCTGTAAAAGCCAAAGCAAACGACTCGCCTTTGGAGGGCGACTCTTGCTAGTGGCGTTGGCAAATTGCCAAAAACAAGACGGTGATAAAATTGTTAACAAAATGCGTAGCTAAATTACACACACCAGCACACTCATGCACGCACAAACACACATGCATATGCATACAACTAAGCAAAGTAAGATAGATGAGCTGGCAAAAACATGCGCCCAGTTGTAAAATAAAAGAATGAACAATCGTGCGAAAGCGTCAAGGCATAAAAGCGTCGAGTTCGAGCAGAAAAATTTATCTTTTCTCCTTGTAACATTTTATTCCCTCACATAAACGTTTGCGCTTCCCACCATAAACAGTTCAATCTATTTATAAAGAATTGCAGTTTCACAAAATTAGCTAAGGTTAAGTTAATTAAACGAAATTTCATCTTATTGTACAAGTAGAAATAAGAGCCATGTATTAAAAAACTATCTCATTGAGTATAACTGACACTAAATTGGATAGCAGTAATATATTCGTATAAGTTGACAAATTTGTTTAAGTACTTATTTATCTGTCCACCATCATCTAGACGATTTAAGGACAAAAGTATCAGTAGATGGCGTGAGCACAGTACCACAATTTACCAAGTACAGTCAATTTTTATATTGAAATAGCTGCATCAACACGGGACTTGTGAATGCCTTTTTGGAAAATATATTTATCCAATAACAGTTAAAAGAACTAACTAAAAGAAGAGCATTACCTCTCAGCTTCCTCTACATGATAATTTCATGATTTGTGTGAGTTTAGGAAATACTCATCATGTTTCAGCTGGAAGTAGAAGCTGTAGCGAGAATTGGCCTACTTGCGAGCACACACATACTTTTTCATTGCATATCTGCAGGGGCAACCATTTGGCTTAGTCGACAGAGCGAGAGAGTGATAGCAGGGGAGAGCGCCCGTTCAACCGTGTGCCGTGGCATTTTGAGTGTCGCTCAGGGCAAAGTTAAACTCTTGACATTGTTCCCCGGCTGCCGGCTCTTTGTGTCAAACGACGCGATGCCATCTACCTCTTCCTCAGCCTCGTCCCTGTGGTCCTCATCACCAGACTGGCTGGCATCAATCAAATATGACACGCATTAAATTCGCACGCACCTTACTCATGCGTGTGGCGCAGTAGCGGCAATGACAGCACCGTGGTAGCCGGCAAATTGACAGCCTCAACTGTCTAGCAAGCTGACTGCCTGCCTCCCAACAGCTATCTGGCCTGCATTTATAGGCGTCTCCTTGCTGCGCTGTGACGCGTGGCGCATTATAAAATGGCGGCGTCTGTTTTATGCTCTATTTATACATAGTTGAATTTTATGCCAGGGCTTTGCCTGTGCCTGTGCCAGTAGCTTTAGCATTGGCTTCGCCTTTGCGTTGCCTAGGCCCACCCATCTATGCCACCTATATACTTGTATATATGTACGAGTATGTATATATATTTGTGCAATTTGCCAGGAAATTGCTGCGTTTAGCGTAATTTTTGCTACTTATTGCCTCTTGGCAACGCGCTGGGAACGTCGCCGTCACCTTTTTCATTTGTAGCTTTCGGTTATAGTCCTGGTTGGGGGTACACGATGGGTTGCTTTCATTCTTGCTGGGTAATTTCACAATGAGCGCTCGAGGCATTCAAGGTGTTTGCTGTTTGTTGTTGGTTGGCTTCTTTTCTCTTTTATTTTTATTAAGTACACAATTGACTTTAAAAGTGTTGAGGTTGAATGGCTGAGGTTGTTTGTGACAATGTCGGTTTAATGCACAGTTGCTTGGATATTGGATGGTCATTAAATACTGAGATGAGTGTATAAGATGCAGCATATGGCGTAGGTATTTATAAGCAATATTGAAAATATGGATAAAGGTTGTTAAAATAAAAATGTAATATATTTAAAATACATTATTTAAAAAACAGGTGAATTTTCAGTTACTTTAGTTATTTATAAATTCAGTGGCGGAGCAAACTTCTTGTATTTGTGGAAATATGGGGAAATAAGTCAACATCTGCAACATTTTTGATTAACACTTTGCGTCGTTAAAAGAGTTCGTACCCAGTATTTTTCCTAATATTTGAACCACTTTATTCGGTTAGTACGAATTAAGTATCCTACAAATATCAGGTACATTCTTTTGATTTAAGTTCTGAAGAATATACTCGAAATGCATGTGATGGAAAGAGGCGTGGCAGACAACTCAATGTATATATTCTTGACCAAAACGATGAGTCGATATAACCATGTGTACCTAGTAGAAGAGCTAGAATAAACAATCTTATATTCATATTACCCGAAGCCACAAGTAAGACAAGTTTGGCTTTTCCTCTGCGATTTTTAAAACTACATTTCCAATTTTCCCGTCTCCTATAAAGTTGTTACTTGATATTAAAAGAGCTTATATTATATTGCTCTGAAAACTTTGGGGTTCGCATTTAGTTCTTTTTATTTTACAACTTTCAGTTGATTTTTATTTATTCGTATTCATAAAGTTTTTTATAAAAAAGGGTCATAAAATAAGCAACTATAATTATGTATGGGCGCATAATTCATATGCGCATCGATCTACACTTATCCATACTGTATATATTTATAATGCCCTGTGCACAAATTTATTATGCAATCGTTAGTTTATGGTTGGGATTCAGAATCAATTTCAGTGTCCGGATATATTCATGTTGATGGCTATAGATGCTGACATCGCCATCGCGCACTTGTCTCTCACATGATGGGGCAATATCAAGAAATTCATAAAGTCATTTGCAATTTGCTGCAAGTACAGAACAAATGAGTTCCGCTAAGGCCAAATGCGACATGACAGCGGCGTCTTCGAAGTTTTAATGCAGGCAGCAGGCAGTAGCCTGAAGAACATGAGGGCTGCGAGATAGTTTGCGCACTAGATAGATGCTTCAACAAATTCATAAATAAGCCAGCAACAACAAAGGGGTACACAAACTGTCGCAATAAAATAATTTATTGAAGTTTTGCAATGCCGGGAAATGGCGACAGCGACATCGACATCGATATTGATATCGACATAGACAACGACATCGACGATTGCAATAAACTTGTGCACACATGACGTATACGTTATAAATTTATTTTCAATGGCTTATAGACAGTAGGATCCCAAGCTATGTAGGCCATACGATTGGCAACTCTTGATACACATAACCCAGGCTTGGGCTAATAGCACAAAAATGTGCGAACAGCAGCAGCTATGACAGCAAAGATTGGTACGGAGACTAAGTACAAGACAAACAACATGGGCTTAGGTTAGTTAGAGAGCTAAACATGCAGGACGATGAAGTGATGCATGGGTTTAACGCACTCACGTAGCTGGGCCAAAGGGGAAAGTTGTGTGTGAGTGTGTTTGTGTGTTCCAGGCGAAGTGTGTTACGAGAATAGCTGCGAAAGTTTGTGTGCTAAGCAAAATATTAAGCGAAAATATGTTGGTAAGGATATTGACATGACTGCGAAATAAGAAGCACACACGAACTTCCACTCAGAAAAAATAAAACCAAAAAGCTGCAAAATAAACAAACAAAACTGAATAAAGAGATAAGTACGAAATACTTACAAGTATATTCTGTTACCGTTCATTTGGCATACAATTTGTGTATTTCTATTTTATGAGCACAAAAGTATTTAAAAAATGCTAAAAATATGTTTGAAAGCTACGAGAATTAAATACGAAAATATTACAACTCGAATTTGAATTTCGAGGAAACTCAGTCATTACTTTATGAGTTTTTTTTTTTTTTTTGCTCACAAATAATGACTATTGGTTGAGTTGTAAAATATAGCTCATAATTAATAATTATATTGTGAGGGAGTGAATAAAATTGAAAAATATCCATTATTTTGTATTTTAATAACAATTTAATCATAATAATGATTGCAGTCCCTGATTTTAAATACTTTTAATTATATAATCTCAGCTGAACTCAAATACAGTGAGATTAAAAAACAGCATCGCCAGCTTTTATATTAACATTTCGGTAAACATTGTGTACATGTGTTCTAACATCTAAGTACAAAATTAAGTTAAGTAGGAAAAGTTTGTAAAAGTTTACAAGAAGCGCTCTTCTTGAGGATCTTTGGAAAATAGGTTTTACAAGATTTCTTTCATTGGAATAAATACATTGTCTTTTAATGTTTTCCAAGTATGTGCTTAAAAACCCTTGGTATAGGCAGAAACTACAGCTAGACAGAATCTTTCAATATATTGGTAG